TCCAAAAGCCATGAGTTGGGTCGGGGAAGATATTTTGTTCCCCTGAATTTAACAAGAGCCTCGGGATATTATTTTTCCTGGCACGAAATCTACCCTTCTGAGAATAACGTATTCCTTTTTGCCATCAAGCGTGAGGACGCTAAAGACGATGATGGTGATGATGAGTTGATGATGAACATGAACTTGTATTCACAGCCAAACAGAAACAAGCTCTTTACCGAATTACAAGAGCCGACTACGTGAACTTGACCAAGGAACTCTCGTTCAAGGATGAGAGCAAAACCATGCAGATCGATTTCCAACTGCATATTTTGCATGATCATGAACAGATTCTCCCAAATAAACAAGGACTACGTGCCAGGCTGCAAGTTTGCAAGGACCATAGCCTGAATAAAAGTCCCGGTCTCTTGTTAAAATGACGATGAAAAGTGCTTACACACACTACAGCTACAATCAGCACAGTAAACATGATTTTACAGAATTGAGTAAATATGAGTTATTGCCCATGAATTTTCTTCCTTTATTTTTCTCCTCAGTCCAATAAAACAAAAACGAAGATCTGTAGAATCAAGTAGAACAAATCAAATCAACAAAAAAGCAAGTCCGGAAAACAAAGAACAGAATTGAGTATGATCCAACTTCAATACTAATAGAAAATAAAAAAGCTACGATCGCAGTGGGATTCGAACCCACGACCTTTAGATCCGGAGTCTAACGCGATATCCACTCCGCTATGCGATCAAATTTTAATGTGAATCCAAAACCAGACACAAAATCGATGCAGCATAAGAACTAGGTTTCGGCATTTTGCAGATGCTCGCAATAACACGACAAGAAGGAAAAAAATCTACTTGGAAAAATAAGGAACATGAGAAAAAGAAATATCAGAGATGGCGGATCGACCTTTTTTCGGCCGCCATGGCTCGCTCGATCTTGAAATGTCGAAAAACTGAGCAAAGATCGATAATGGAAAACCCAAAGCTGAGAGGATGAAATATTCATTGATTGAATGAATCGTCTGATAACGAACGAAATTGAGAGAGATCAGAGGAGTAACAATTTACAGTAGTGTTTTGTGTGGAAATTGAAATTGGTCAAGATGACCCTCTCCAAACAACTATTTGTCTAAGTAACCTTTTTTTTGTACACGAACCTTCCGTTTCCAGATCTACAGGGGAACCGACTAATTCGGAATCGAGACGGGTAGAACCACAAGGGCGGCAAAGCTCTCCCTCAAGAGTTTTAACACTGCTGCATTCCCAGGGCTCGAACACGAGACCACTGGTTAAGCTGCACGAGACCACTGGTTAAGTTGGAAGAGACCCAAACCATCTCATCCAAGCGCTCTTGAGAATTTGTCTAAGTAACCTTTGACTAAAAAAAACTAAAATAAAACTTAATAAAACTTATATTAAACGTGAAATGACAAATATGTCCTCTCTATTACTTCACTTCTCCTTCCCCGTTTACTAACGTTCAGAAACGAAAAAAAAAACACAGAAAAAATCTCGCTCCCTCTCTCTTCACGCTCTCTCGCTCTCTCTGTCGGCTCTCTCGACTCTCTCACGCTCTCTCGGCTCTCTCTCTCAACTCTGTCTCATGGAACTCTCTATTGTCAATGTTGGTAAGATTTATTAAGTTGAAGAAGAAAAATGAGTTTATGTGTTATGTGTTAATTGAAGAAGAAGAATGATGTTGAAGAAGATTTTTTTGATATTGTAGTTATTTTGTAGTGTATTGTGTTTAAAGAGATGAAAGTGGAGTAATTGTTTAATATGTGTTATGCATGAAAGTGAGGTTAATTGTTGAAATGCTTGTAGGATTTAGTTGGTGAATTGGTGCACTTTATGTGTTTGATGAAATACTTGTAAGGTGAGCTCTATGTGCTTGATGAAATGATTGTAGGATTGAGTTGATCAACTGAAAATAACGAGACTTCTATGTTTGTAATGTAATATATAACGAATGTACATTCGTTATAGGAATGTTGGCCTTAACCTATTGGATAAAGTTTGAGAAAAATTGCCCTAAGATAAGGAAAGAAAAGGAATGGGTTTTGCCTTGACTCTATGTTGTGTTAAGGATTTGTTGTGGCTTTTAGAACCTAGTATCCAAAATGTTCCTTTATCTTAAATCATCTTTGTTTAAAAATATAAAAATGGGTAAATTGGCATGCTTCCTATTGTTTTGTTCGCAATGTATACATGTATGGTGTATCTCTTGAATTGATATTAGTATTTAATGATTTTAGCATTGTGTCGTAGGTTATTCTTCTAAGTTTCAATTTCAAAGAGAGGTGCATGTTGAGTAGTATTTGACCTTGTTAGAATGAAATATTTTAAGGATGTTACATGTATGAGTTTTGATAAGCCAATATTTAGTCAAGCTTCATGCTTTATGGTTGTTAGGTTCAAAGAATAAAACAAGCTCGATATAAAATAAAGAATCGTTTTAGTAGTATCATTTAAAAATGAGTTAATTTATAACTCTAACGAGTAAAATATCGTCGTAATGTATTATATTGTGATCATATATTTTGATCATATTAGGTTTTTAAGTGTATTATGAAACTTGGTAAATTAATAGAATTTGTACATTTATGTTGCAGGTTTGATTGTGGGATGTTTACTATCAATTTTTGGAATTTTTTATATGCTGGGAAGAATGTTGAAGGCGTAGATCAATCTCGGATTAGTGCTTGGCGTGTAAAACTAGCGGCTGAAATATTTGGTGCTCATTTTGATACATAGTATGTTTTAAACATTCATTATGTAACGGGTTGTAGGGATCTTTTGGATAATACATTTTTGTATTATTTTTCATGTGTCTTTCAATACAATGATTCGGGTGGTCGATTTGTGAAGTTGTATTTTTTACGTACTTCCCAATGCTGTTGTTATAATATTATTTTATGAAAATGGTAAAAAATATTACTGTAACGAGAAGTTTTAATGTAATAAAAAACGAAGGGGTTCGCTGTCGAGCTCCTTGAAATAAGTCAAGGAAGATTACAAGTTGTTTGAAAAAAAACAAAAATTGAATGTCGCGGGCGCGACGTCCGTCATGGCCGCGACATCCTGGTAAATTTTCTGTCCGAGAAGGAACAGGCCCAGTGTCGCGACCGCGACATATAATTGTTTCAATATAACGATTATCCAATCTTTATTTTGTATGATATAACGATGTACAATGTTATAATTAAAAAAAAAA